CTGCTTTTACCCTCCTTCCTGGCAAGCTTCTGTGCTTTTGCTCACCTGTTCGTCTCCATCACTCCCCTCAGCTCCACTGGTGTATCCCCTCCCTGGCTCTTTTTCCCTCTTTTTCATACGCTCTTCCTCCACATCCCCCCCTCTCCTCTTTTGACACTTTTGGCAGCAGTCCACAGAGCAGCCTGTTTAGTCGAGAGGATGCTCCAGACTTTCTGCCCCGTGGCATGGTGAGACCCTGCAAGTTTTGCACAGCCTCAGAGTACACAAACACAAGAGTGCACTCTCGCACGTATCCTCTCTCGGTCTCTTGCTTCCTCGCTTTCTGGCTGTCAGCCCGCAGGCACCTCGTGGGAATGGCCATGCTAATCGGTCCAGTGTGCTGTCAGGCATAAAATCCACAGCTAAGTTTCTCAGCCGGCTTATCAATGCAAACCTGTGGTCCGGCGCCTTTTTGAGAAGCTCTGTTTGTCTAGCTCAGCGCCTCGAGGTTTTTGTTCAGAGTCTTCAGTATACATCTCCTTTTGATTTCTTTCTGTTTCATTTTTTTAGGTGAAATTTTCAGCTGTTTTTTGTTTTTGCCGGCAGTCATCATCTTGTGTCCGCTTCTCTTTAAAAGTCTTACGATCCCATCAATGACTCTGACATTTTTAGAATAATTACCTGGAGATTGCACTTGTTGCCATTTATGAATAAGGACTTCCTTTTTAATCTACAGTTAATATTATAACAGATACTGTAACTGTGGATGGGTGTTTTTAAACAGTAAGCTTCATTATGTATGCATGGATTTGGTTAAAATCCAAAAATGTGTTTGCATCTGTAAAACAACACCTCTGCAATAACAGGGATCCTGTGTAATTGATCTCATGCTTTGATTTGGTTCAGTATGTTGAGTTCTCTGACTTATTTGGCAGTAAAATCAATGCTACCTTATGCATTGCAAATGAGATACAGAGGAAAGTTTGAAATATGGTAATAGAACACAGCTTAAAGAAGCTGTTGAACTTTTAGATGTTTTATTGGAATTTATTTGACAATGTGCTGGCAAAAAAACCCCAAAACCCTTCACGCATTTTTTGAAATGCTTTTATTGTACTGTGTAGCCACAAGTGTGAATTTTGAACGTGCAGAGGTTCACCAAGCTGGTGATGTTCTCCAGCGACTGGGGTTGGAAAAGATCACGTTGATAGGTGCACACATGCCGACTCTTCTGCTCATACACGCACACATATATGTACAGGGGTTGCTTTTTATTATGCCAGCGCTTCTCCTCACTTCCTTCACTTGCATCTTAGCAAGAATCCCAGCAAGGATATGCGAGAGATGCGAAGAAGAGACGTGAGGAGGGAGGAGGCTGCACGTAGTGTCACTCTTATGCGACGCCAGTTACTTATGCTGTGCTGCACAGCTGCAACACCTGTCAAATCAAACCCACCAAGGTGCGGCTTTTCTACGTGATGCAAATCTATAAAACAACTTAGCGTAGGAGGATTGCAAGGTGCCTCGGTAGTTGGCATCGTTGCCTCGCAGAAGGAAGGTTGCCGGTTCGCGTCCCGGTGAGGACACCCGAGATCTTTCTGCGTGGAGTTTGCATGTTCTCCCCGTGCAGCGTGGGTTCTCTCCAGGTTCTCCGGCTTCCTCCCACAAATCCATAAACATGATGAGGCTAATTGGTGATTCTAAATTGTCTGTAGGTGTGAATGTGAGTGTGCTTGGTTGTCTGTCTCTAAGTGTAGCCCTGTGATAGACTGGTGACCTGTCCAGTGACCTGCCTTCACCCTAAGTCAGCTGGGATAAACTCCAGCTCCCCACGACCCTAGTGAGGACTAAGCGGTGTATAGATAATGGATGGTTTTTTCAGATTTTATTAAAAGATCCTCTATGATGGTGGTCGGGGGAAAGACGACTTCTTTTTCTTGGCGAGGAAGCACAAGTTAGCACAATGAAAAGGAGCAAGGGCTTTTCCTAGTAGATTATCATTTATCGTATGATCAGGAAAATGCACTGATTAATTTCAAATACGGTAACACAGACGTAGACCGATCATCCTCTTTGTCAACTTCGTCACCCCTAAAGGCGCGTTCTGAGCCAGAAAAACCCCTGAATGTCGTCATCAGAGTGTGAAATTGAGCACGGACCTATAAAGAAAAGATAACAGCGCATTCAGATTCTCAGCAGAGGCCTGTCCTGTGATGGCCTTTTCCTCTGGTGGCTGATACGGTCGGTCTCTTCACATTTTTTATCTGTAATACCATTAATTAAGCCGTAGAGCAGCTCAGCGTAGGTGTTGGCTGGTGTGTGTGTGTGTGTGTATGTGTACTAGCAGAGGCTTGAGCACATGAGATGAAAGTGAGATGAGAGTGAAATTTTGAAGAGTACGCTTCATTTCCTGCCTTCTGGTAAATTTTCATGCAGCAATTTTGGGGGTTTTCTGCATCAATTTATGGTGGACGTGTCTTATTTATGTAAAAGAAAACATATCGTGTAAATGTTGGGGTTAATGAGTTACTAATTCATTTAAATATTTTTTATGTATTCATTTTTTTCTTCTGTTTTTTATTGGGGAGGAATATATGCCTACATGTGTACCCCTGTGTACCATTCTGCCTACTCTCCTGCTGTGTCAGGATGTGCGTGTGAACCAGCGTGTTGACTTACATTAACATTAAATCTGCTCTATGTGAATCATCTGCTGTAGGGTGAAACAGAATATCTGTAGTTTCAGAAACAACAACTGCCCCATTTCTCTGCTGCAGCCTCCAAGCTTAATCTCTGACACACGCCTGGCCGAGGCTCGTCTCCGGGCTAATTGCCTCTTCGTGCTGCGAGACTTTGGCCCATGTGAAAACTGTCAGG